TGCACTCTGTAAGTGAAAGACCAGGGAGCCTGAAGCTTTGATTAATGAGAAGTCTGATTCCTAATCAAAGGAGGAAAATAAAGAGAAGTGAAATCAATATTTGCTAAATTATTAAAGCAAACTAATTTACAAATTTTAAAGGGGAAATGTTAAAAGAGATACTGATAATAATTTCTGACTTTTAACTAGCACTTTCAATATACCATGCACTTTGTGGAATGATTCAATTTGTATAATTCTGTGAAGTAGGTTTCATTATCGTCCCCATTTTACTGATGAGAAACCCAAGACTTAGAGAGGGTAGATAACTTGTCCAGGGCTACACACCTAGTAATTGCCTATTCGGAACTACAGACTCACTGTTTTTAATTACTTGGGCCACACTGACTGGTAAAACGTTTCACTCTTTCTCTTTATTATGAGAAGGATTGGCGATATAGGGTACACTCTCTGAAAATGGTCTCTTTTTTGTTCAGATTTTTCTTTTAACTCTTTATTGTAAATTGAGTGAAAATTTACAAAGCAGACCATCAGTTTTATATTCAGCAAATCATGTACTATGCTTCATTACAATGACTGCAATCCCCTCCATGTACCATGTTGTTGTTAAGTGCCGTCGAGTCAATCCCGACCCATAGCGACCATATATAGGGTTTCTGAGGAGCAGCTGGTGAGCTTGAACTGCTGACCTTGCAGTTCAAACGGCTTTGCAGTCTGACGCATTAACCCACAGCGCCACCCCAGGACTCCTCCATGTACCATAATTCACAGCATTTACCTCTATTCACGTTAACTATTGCATTCCTCCTATGTCTCCCACTACCTTCATCTTTCCTCTGCTAACCTCCTTCTTGTTGTATATTGCCTGCCCTGTCACTCATGTTAACTTATGTCTACCATCTAGCCCATGAATAATTTCCTTTCCCCCTTCCCTCCATAACCATCATTTATTTATATAAACCAAGTTTATTTTTTTAAACTTTTTATTGTGAAATGAGTAAAGGTTTATAGATTAGACCATTAGTTTTACATTCAATAGATCATATACTTTGCTTCATTACAATGGTTGCAATCCCATCCATTTTAACATATGTCTACCCTGTAGCCCGTGAATAATTTTCCCTCCTCCCTCCCTTACCTTCACACCCCTGCCTAACCATCATAAATGGTTTCCTTTTTCAAGAAGACCTTTTCTTAACATTTTACAACATTGATCTCATACAATATTTGTCCTCCTGTGATTGACCAACTTCACTCAGCATAAAACCCTCCAGGTTCATTCATGTTGTGAGGTGTTTGACAGATTTGTCATTATTCTTCAACATTGCATAGTACTCCACTGTGTTTATGTACCAAACTTTGGTTAACCATTCCTCTGTTTATAGCATTTAGGCTGTCTCAATCTTTTTCATGTGTCTCTTGTAGATAATATATGGAAAGATCCTGTTTTCTTATCCATTCTGCTCTCTATGTCTCTTGACTGGTACATTTAATCCATTTGCATTCAGTGTAATAATCAATAGGTATGAATTTGATTGCTGTCATTTTTCTGTGTGTGTTTTTTGTGGTGTTGCTGATTGCTTTGTTCCACATAATTTTCAGCACTGAGTTCATTTTGTTGGTGGATTTTCTTTTCATTTTCATTTCTGTCTTCTGTTGTGTTAATGTTTACTAAATCTTTCTGATTTTCCTCCTTCTTTTGATGTGCAGGTGTTACTAATTTTCTTTGAGGTTACTGTGTAATTTATTAAAATTTTCTCTGCTTAAAACAAACTTTTATTTTGTAATCTACTTGAATTCCTTGCCATTTATAAATTCTATATCTATACTAATCCTTTTTTTAAGCTTTGTAAGTTGACTTCATTATACATTGATATGTCTGGTTTTCTATTTCTATTTTTCTGTAGGCTTGTTTTACTTTAATTCTATCTCTGGATTGAGTTCTGGGTGGTATTGTCATGTATGGATGTTAATCTCAGATTGCTGTTGGTGGTTCTCAGTTCAAAGAACACCCTTTATCATTTTTTGTAAAGTTGGTCTGGTCATTATAAATTCCTTTAATTTCTGTTTATCAGAAAATGTCCTAATTTCTCCGTGGTATTTGAGGAATAGCTTTACCAGGTATATATGTTTCTTAGTTGACAATTTTTTTCTTTCAGCATTTTATATATGCCATCCCATTGCCTTCTTGTCTGCATGGTTTCTACTGAGAGATCAGACCTTAGTCTTATTGACTCTTTTTGTTGTTTTGTACAGTTTTTATTGTGAATTGTGTGATAGTTTACTTGAGAGAACATTGGTTTTGCACCCAACATATCGTTTTTGTTTCATTGCAATGACTACAATCCCCTCCATACATCATCATTAACAGTATTTGCTTTTATTCCCTCTGTGGTGTTTTGTTTTGTTTTATTCTGATGTATACAAAAACACTTAGGTATATATAATCATTTAAACAACCAAAGGGCACATTCTGCAAGCCAGCCTTCTGGGCCACCATCACACAGCCTTTCTCTTTCCATGAATCTAGAGTCCTCAGCTGTTCTATCTCTCCATGCCATCACCTCTGCCTCCATCTCTGGTGTCACTGCTTCTCTCGTTAGGGTCCCATGTTTGCTCATGCTCTTATCTCTTGATGGTCCAAGGGTCCTCTGTCCTCTGTTCCTGGAATGTAAGAGTAACTGCTCCCTTCTTTATGTTGCAAAACTTCTACCTTTACAGTGTGATAATTGCAATTAGTCATGATAAAAGTTACTCACTATTGAGTCATAAGAATCGTATCCCCATCTCTTTTCACCAGACCCATCCAGAAAAGATGAAAACTATTCAGTGGGAACAGAGGGAATGGAAGCAAGTGCTGTTGAATGATGATGCATGGAAGGGATTGTAGTCATTGCAGTGAGACGAAGTATGATGGGATAAGTGTAAGGCTGATGTTCTCCCATGTAAACCATCACAAAAATTCACAATGATAAAAACTTAAAAAACAAAAACAAAAAAACTCTTCAGTACGGACTCTACCTTCCCCTGTACACTCTGAAGCTAAACTCCCTCTTTAAAACTTGTAAGCCAGCTACTTCATGCCTTCATAGCCCCCCATTTTAGGAAGCCAATGTCTAAGTTGCCCATCCCTATTAACCCTGTGTACAGAGAGGACAGGCTTGATTCATGAGTTGAAGACTCCTTCCCTCTTGGTTGGTATTTTGAGCTACTACATCCATAAGTATAGGTCAAGTTCATCAAATTGTAGCCAGTTACACATGCTTCCTTTATCAAATTTCTTTCTCTTCTTTTAGTTGAGCTCTGGTCATCAAGCCATCGAAGCTAGGTCAAATGGGTACTATCCTTAAGTTTGGGCATTCTTATGCGTCTCCCCTCACTTCATATCAGCTGGATGCTTCACTCTTAGCTCTAGCCCTCCATGGTCAGTGGGCTCAGGACTTCTCAAGTCTCTATGGGCTCAGGACTTCTCAAGTCTCCCCAAACTTCAGACCAACTAGTCCTTCCCCTTCTCTGTCTTATCTCATGGTCGGCAGAAGTCTATGGAACATGGTTGAACTTATTAGTTCTCTTTTGTAAGTAGCTTTTCATCGTCAGAATTCTTTTCCTTGTCTTTGGTTTTAGAAAGTTAGATTATGATGTGTGTTGGTAATTTTCTTTTGGGATCTATCCTGCTTGGGGTTCAGTCCACTTATATGCTTATCTTCTCATCTTTCATGCTATTAGGGAAGTTTTCTTTCAACAACGTTTTACAATTTTCTCTGTGCTTGTCTCTTACAATTTAAGAATTCCTATCACCCCTAAGTTGTTTCTCTTCATGGTGTCTCACATAACTCTTAGGCTTTCTACAGATTTTAATTTTTTTTTAATTGTTCTTCTAGCATATTATTATTGAGAGATGTATCTTCAAGCTCACCAATTTGAGCTTCCAATTAATTTGAATCTACTCCTTGCCCTTTCAGTGTGTTGTCCATTTATGAAATCTTAGTATTAACCTTCTGGATTTCAAATTGTAGGTTTTGTATTATTTCAAAATTTGCATTTATTTTGTCTGTTTGTCCTTGTAGTGTTTTCCTGAATTCTTCTTAAGTTTTCTCTCTGTTCTCCTTGCTTTCCTCAATCTTTCTATCAATTCATTGAAAGTACCAAAATATCATTCTTTTGAATGCGTTTTCAGTTAGTTCCATTGCCATTTTTCCTCAAAAAAGTTTCTGTCTCTGCATCTTGGCCATTTGTGCCATTCTCTCTTATTTCTTTTTGTGAGCTAAAATTGTCTTCATGGCGTTGTGGTGTTGTTGTATTTGTAAAAACACACAGTGCAGTTGTTGAACCCCGAGGAGAAATTTCTGGAGGCTTCTGCCATTCAAGGAGCTCATGAGGTGGTTATGGAAAGAATGTGACAGCAGAGTTCCTAGCCCTAGATGGAGTTTCTGTTGGTCTCAGTGTTGTCTGTGTTCAGGGGACTCAGTCAGGAAGTAGTTCATGGGACCCTTAATGGAGCTGGTTTCAGTGTCTGTTAGGACCACAGAGTACCTGGGGATAGGGTGACTGGTTGAATGTTTATCTGGTTACTTTGTGGGTTTTGTAGGTCTGGAGCTGAGCCCACCTGAATCCAAGTGACACACACCAAAGCTGCAAAGCTGGCCCTCCCCTCATACTGGTATGGCTCGCAACCCACGTGCTTCCAAACTTCTGGTGTGTAGGGTATTTTGTGTTTTTTTCTTTCAGATTTTTCAATGGAGAAAAGATTTAAGCTTCTTCCTTGTACACAACAAAATTCCTCCCTAAGTAATTGCCTCAGCTGGTGTCCCTTAAATGCAATACTATAAAAGTTATCTAAGTTTTTACCTTTTAATAAATTTAATGATTTTTCAAAACTTGCCTCACTGTCCAGGTAAAATTAAGTTTGCTGCCAGCTACAACTTTTTATGATCCAGGTGTGTCCCAAATTCACCGTACATCTGACGTAAAAACCTATGGACTATCTTTTAATCTTTCAGATGGAGTTTGCTGTGGGTCCATTCTGCAGACGAGTGTCTGATTTAGGAAAATCCTATCGAATGCTGAGATCATTCAGGTGAGACACTGTTCTATTCTCTTTGTTTATGTGGATATCCTATAGCAATTGAGTTCTTTTCTCCCCTTCAGGTTATACTTTATGAAATTGCCAATATTCAATCACTATTGACTCTCACCAATGGCAGTTTCATATGGTTTATCTTTTAATTATTGTTCAAATCAAAACCCCTATATAGAATTATATGCTGTAATGCACTAGTGTATGTGTGTATATGTGTGCTTTCTTTTTTGAGTTATTTGGTAAGTTTTATTATACTGTTCCTATGGGGATTTTTCTACTTCCTATTCTTATAGTAATGTATTGAAGCAATATATTGAAAAATGTATAGTATTTTTAAAATATAACTTTCATTCATTCATTCATTCATTTATTATTTTAAAACCAACCTACTTCCAGAGGGCTGTAAGCTATATTCCAAGATATATTGTTGTTGTTAAGTGCCTTTGAGTCAGTTCTGACTCATAGCAATGCTATGTAGGCTTTGCAAGGTTGTAAATCCTTGCAGGAGCAGAAAGCCTTATCTTTCTCCCACTGAGAGGCTGGTGGATTCAAACCTCCCACTTTGTGGTTCATAGCCCAGTGCTTATCCTACAAAGCCATTGCATTCCCATTCGAAGATACAGATATAACAAAACCATTGAGGTAGAGTGGTAGTGTAACTGAGTCCCATGATGATCTGCCCATAAATGCAGCTTATAATTTAGGCTAAACATGGCTGATACCATTGAGTACAAATGAGATTTCTAGATCAGCTCACATCTTTAAAAGAGTACTGAACTATTTGGTTGACGCACTACCCAACATAGAAGAATTGAAAGATTATGACATCCTGAGGTTACCAAGCCACCTATCTGTGCTTTAGTCTACCTCCTGTAGACTCATTTACTTTTAGTAAAATGGTAACACAGCAGTCCCAACCAGGGGATCAAATGCTGTCTTGCATACCTGAATCAGAGTACTGAATGGTATTAACCAATTAGTTATTGGATAAGGTATGGAAAAGTTGGGATTTGTGATTTGTTGTGCATTTGCATGTATTGAAATCATGCTTTTTCTGGTGTGGCGCTGCAGGTTAATGCACTGGACTGTAAGGTTGGTTTGAACAGCAAGGTTGGCAGTTCAAGCTCACCAGCCACTCCTCGGAAACTCTGTATAGGGTTGCTATGAGTCAGAACTGACTTGACGGCACTTACCAACAACAACAAAGGCAGGAGTCCTGGTGTGGTGTTGTAGGATAAGTACTGGAGTGCTGGCTACCAGGTCTTCGGTTCAAACCCACCAGCTACTCCTGGGAGACCTACATAGAGATCACTGTGAGTCAGAACTGACTCAACGGCACTTAAGGCAGGATGGCCTTTATCCAAGTGCTTTTAAAGTGGTATCACATTATGGAGCTGTGAAGGAACTTCAGAAAGTTTGTGGAAATATTCTGTTATCTCTCAATTTCAATGTCAAACTTTCTGAAGCCCCATCATTCAAGTTCTGAAGGTAGGTTGCAGATAAGAGTGATTCTGTTTTAAGTGACTTAAGATGGGCATTTTCTTCTAACCTTCCTAATTCCCCCATCAGAAGGAGAATCTCTAAAAGAACATGTCAAGTTTGAGTGCTGACACCTTATGTTGTCATGGGCCATTGACTCTTCTGACACAGTGACCCTATATGTCCTAGGTGAGCTGCTCCATAGGGTTTCCTAGGCTAGAGTCTTTACAAGAGCACATTGCTAGTTCTTCTCTCCTATGGTGCCTCTGTGGGATTTGAACCTCCAGCCTTTGTGCCAGCAGAATTCCTTTGTGACATCTTATAATACAGATTTATGGAATTAAAAATTAATGATTGATCAGTGCATACTTTTAAAAATCCTGCATTATTTTATACTTAATTCCTCATTGTTTGACATCTTTGTATTATAATCTGCCCTATACTTGCATGCAAACCTGCAAATGTATTCAAACCCGTATATGCACACACATGTATACCCATGTGTATGTTTCATGAAATAGTAACTACTTTTATTTCATATAATAGTCTCTGAAATCTCTGTTTTATTTATTTTAGAAAACTAAATTGGTTTCATCACCCACGAATGGTTTGCATTCAGAAATTTCTTAAGTTTTTTTCCCCAGGGCTCTTAAATTGTTGTTGCTGTAGTGGCAAGGAGCAGAGTTTTGTGTGTTTTTTTATCTATAACTATAAAGGTTTATGCCCTTTTCTTCTGGCATTCTGGTATGCCTGAGCTTCCTCCTACAGATGGCTCCTTAGCTCTTCAGGTCCCAGCGCATATATAATAAGAACAACTGTATCTTGCCTATAGACCGTTTTCTAGAACTGATGTGAAAAATTCCAGCAGAGATTTATTGTTACTGTTGCTGCTAAATGCCATCAAGTCATTTCTGACTCATATCGATCCTGTATAGGATTTCTAAGGAGCAACTGGTGGGTTTAAACTGCTGACCTTGTGGTTCACAAGGTAAATATATATATACCAATATATTTTTTCAGCTGTATTGAATCTGGAGTCTTGATGTAGCGCTGTGGGTTAATGCGCCAGACTGCAAAACCATTTGAACTGCTTGGTCTGCGGTTCAAGCTCACCAGCTGCTCCTCAGAAACCCTATACTGGGTTGCTATGGGTTGGAACTGACTCGACAGCACCTAACAACAACAATATATTGAATTTGGAGTCCTGGTGTGGCGCTGTGGGCTAATGTGTCAGACTGCAAAGTTGTTTGAACTGCAAGGTCTGTGGTTCATGCTCACCAGCTGCTCCTTGGAAACCCTAAACAGGGTCGCTGTGGGTCTGCATCAACTCAATGGCACTTAACAACAACAACAACAAATATTGAATGTGGTAATCCCTAGGCAGTGCAAACAGTTCACGTGCCCAACTGCTAACCACTCATGGGCTCTTCAGAAAAAGGCCTGACCATCTGCTTCCAAAAAGGCAGTCATTGGAATCCCTGTGCAGCACAGTTCTATTCCTTGACACACAAGGGGGCGCTGTGCCTTGGAATGGACTCAAGGCAACTGGCTTTTATACAGAATCTGAAGAAATGTTTTGAATTTATCCTAATATTGTCTCAGTTGTTTCATGGAACTTGGGCATTTTTAACAAAATGATATTTCATAAAAATATTTTGTAAAGAGCATAGGACTGACTGGATCAAGAAATAAAAGGAAAGTATGGTATACACATTGTGATTCAAATCCATCCTTGGTCTACAAAGAATGATGTAGGTGCCATCTTTTGAAAAGAGGAGTGGCTTCTACCCTCAAAACCTTATAGGGGAAGTAACACCCCACCCCACCCTCAGCCAGCTTCTCTGCAGTTCTCTTATGAAGTTGAGAAACTTGGGAATGCTTACCTGTGCACAAGGAGTGGTGGTGCGGCGCTGTAGGCTCAGCACTGGACTTCTGACTGCAAGGTCGGTGGGTCAAACCACCAGCCACTGCTCAGAACCCCTATAGCGAGCGGGTTGGTATGAGTTGGAACCAACACAAGAGCACTGACAGCAACAACACTTCTGCAGAGAGCCCTACTGAAGGCCTTCTTAGAGAGCAGAATTAGTTGAGAATAATCTTTATTCTAAGAACCTAATTCTAGGTCTTCTATTTTGCCAATCTATGAGAAATGTGGCTCTTCGAAATTGCACTGGACCCCCTCTACTCCCCCACCTTAAGTCTTGCTACTGCATTTCTTCCCTCTGTACTGGCAACTATGACATCATCTCATGTCATATACCTGAGATAGATCTTGGCTTTCACTCCCAGAGCTCCTCACCAGAGGCCTGAATTGCACCCAAACCAGCTGAATGGTGATCAGTCAGGGAACAGCTCAATAAAATATGCTGTGTTCATAGCAGCTATTAACAAGTAAGTTCTTTGCTAATATCTAATAATAGGAGAAATACTTCCTACAACATCTAAATGAAAAAGTAGGCTGCTAAACAGTGTGATATGATCCTTACTCTTAAAATATATATGTGTGTTTATGTGAAGAGGAAAAGCCAGGTAGGATACACATCAAATGCTGTTGTTTTTGGACAACAGAATGGTCACTAGTGTTTTTTCTTTCAGGGATTTTTCTCATTTTTCAAATTTTCTGCCTTGATTATATTATTGTTATAGCCAGAAAAGTAAATAAACATTATTTTAAAATGTCTCTTTCTTTGTTTACCTGTTATTATCTAAACATTATAAGGGAGCTCAAAAATAATATTAAATATACTAAAACATCTAGCAAAGGGGAAAGGCAAGACACACAGGTAGTCAAGCCCCCCAAGTCCAGCAGGTAGCAATGGCCACTAAGGTGCTCTTTACCAGGGAGGGTGACAGAGCCAGCCAGAAAGCCTGCAGTTCAGACCCCATGTACTGTCCCCATCCCCTCCCCAGGAGACTTTAAGAGTCACCCATAATATTAGATGAGTGACATCAAGAATATCACACAGGAAGAAAGCAAAAGATCATTAAGAAGACAAGAAGGAAGGAAACGACCAAAATGGATGTTAGAAGAGACTCTGAAACTTGCTCTCCAATGTAAAGATGCAAAAGCAAATGGAAGAAATGAGGAAATAAAAGAGCTGAACAGAAAATGTCAAAGGACAGTTCAAGAAGACAAAATCATGTATTATAATAAAATGTGCGAAGACCTGGAGTTAGAAAATCAAGAGGGAAGAACATGCTCAGCATTTTTAAAGCTGAAAGAACTGAAGAAAAATGCAGGCCTCGACTTGGCAATATTGAAGAATTTTATGTCCAAATTGGAGTCATGGTGTAGCACTGTGGGTTAATGTGCTGAACTGAAAAGTCGGTTTGAACTGCAAGGTCAACGGTTCAAGCTCACCAGGTGCTCCTTGGAAACCCTATACAGTGTCTCTATGGGTTGGAACCGACTCAACAGCGCCTAACATCAACAACATGGACAAAATACTGAATGATGCAGAAAGCATCAAAAGAAGATGGAAGGTATACATAGTCACTATACAAAAAAAAAAGAAATG